AAAAAAAGGGAGCGCAATGGAAAATGCACACGGAAAACTTCACCGGTGGCTTTATAAATACTCCCGGGGTCTGCTCCGTTTGGTGACGGGACTCATTAGGTCGGATCACAGCCCTAAAGCCCCCTGATTGAGATGGAAGACAGCTGTCCCAATTCTGGGGGAAGTCAACAGGGCAACTGAATGGCGTCAGTGCGGCGATGCGTCGCCGGCCTTTCATTTTGAGGTCATTATCTCCGGCAGGCGCAAGGCTTTGAGGGGATCATGCGCTCGGTTGTGTGTGCGCGAGTGTGAGTATCTGTATGTCTGTCTCACGTGCTACTGGACACATCGGCCTGATTCTTCGACTATATGCTCGAGGACCTTTCGTGGTTGCGGTGATTCACAATTTTTAAAAAACCTATTTTATTGGCCAGTCCGTTGCATGCACACTCCTCACTCCTCTTCTGGTTGGCCAACAAGTGATGAACAACTGCTTCGGTTGCAAAAGGCATTTCCGGCGATCAGCTCGTCTAAAAACAGGCCTTACCGACTCTGTCAACTTTTGGCTTATTTTATGGTTTTAAATACCAGATAGCTTATGGTCAACTAAATTCAGGCACGATACAAGATGAATAAAGCACCCATGTGTGCTCCTGCTCCGCCATCTTGAGAGTAAGGGAGCCAGGAGGGACAATTGAGAGAGATTCAACTCTTCTTTCTTTGGGAGGGGACAGTGGGACAAACCTGGCAGAGATCTGCACTCGACTGAGTGCACTTTTCAGCTCTGGGAAATTGATATGGCAAACATTTGACTATGTACCTATCGAGCAGAGCAATCATTTGTGTTTGTGGCCACCCGAATGACAGTAGCTCCAATATTCACTCTGCTTTTGGCTCAGTCTTTTCCCATCAGCTTCATTTAGATGTAAGAAGAGCTCTCAGCAATGGTTACACAAGTTTTGGTCTTTTTTTTTTTTGTGTGTTTGGCTCATGAGGAACTCCTCAGAACAGTCTGTTCTAGTCAGAGAAAGGAAACGGCTTTGCCTGTTGAGCTGAACACCACAGAACCGGGACATTACGACTCGCTCCACGTTCGCCCCGACACTCTGTCACAATTAGCCCCAAGAGTGAACCCAAAACTCTCTCTGAAGCCTGGCTTTCCTCAAGCCAGTGCGTTACTGGGACAGAACACGGGACGCCAGCAGCAACGGAAGTATCGCAAAATGCAAATTCATGTGCTCCCCGCAGTACTTAAGCAAGCACTGGCGAAATAGGCAAATGTTGAACCTCCTTTCCAAACAAATCCCTGTATTAATGCAGTCACTGTGCTCCGAGATAGCCACCGGTCGCCTCTGATTTTGCTATATAAACAAAGCAATATCCAGCAAACTGTCCCCAAACATGACAGATCATGTAGTCGTACGTGACAAGTGGAGTGTGAGAGAGATCTGCTCGTGTTTGCTTTACTGCTTTTGAGTCCGGGCGATTTAACCTAGAACAGGACAGTTTGTGCGTCTGTAAATTATGTAAAGCTTTCGCTAAACGGGGGCCCTGTTTCTGAGAAAACTATCACGCAGCAGAGCACATTACTTGAGAACTGGATGTTCCTCGCAGTCAGAGGGGAAGGGCTTTGTTTGTTGAAACGCCAAACAAGCTAAATACGCCATTAAATCGGGGGAAGACCACGTTCACGTCGCCACTCAACCATCCCCTTCACCAATGCCTCGTTCTCTTCTTGCTTTGGTCCCATGTTTTGCTCGAACCGTCTTCTTCCTTGAGGTTTGTAGAGATGATCTATGATTCCTGTTGTTTACATCCTATCTACATCTCTAATTTTGGCGCATGAAAAAAAAAGAAAGAAAGAAACTGCAGCTACAAGATGATACTCTCCAAAAAGGATGAATCTTAAGCCATATTGTCCATATTTACATTGAACATTTTACATTCACATTTCTACACTTTGCAGACCGTGTAAGATATTCTGACAAAGGTGCTCAAATGTGACAAATTGCACACTTATTTAATCGTCCTCTGCTTTAGATCTGAAACCAAAGCCCAGCTTCTCTAAAATTCTGGCCTGGTCTTTTGAAGATCCTCAATCACATGGAGCTGCCCGACCCACCAAATGTTAAACCTAATCCGCCCCCACCACCACCCCCTCACCACGCACAGCATGCAAAATGGCAGCTTTGAACCCTAAACTGCTTCAATAACAACAGCCTCTTCTCTAAACCTCAATTACCAGGGCAAGAAACATATTACACATTACTAATGAACGTTGCGTAACAATCACAGGCACAAACTGTACGTGCGCAAATATACCTGCAGGCAAAATGAATAATTCCCAAAGAAGAGCATCACTCGGCAGTGTAACACACTTTCTGAATGTGCAAACATCTTTGAGCAAGTGTCATTAAAGCTGCACTATACAAGTGAAAATGCTACTTGCTAAACTTAGCTAAAATGCTAAGCTACAGCAACATCAGCACAAGAGAGATAAAGTCTCAGTAGTGTCTGTTGTACAGCAACAGTTACCTAAAGTTAGCTTCCATAAGCTAGTAATTATACCAGACCAACTACGGTTGCAGCAACAAGGGTATTGAATTTAGCAATGTTGCGTTTTATTCCCTGTGAATTAAGCTTTTAATTTGTAAAAGGAACAATCTGTCTTTCAAAAGTCACAGTCTTGCTTTCAAGCTTTGAAATTGACCTGTTTTAAAGTAGAATTGTTAGAAATATATCACACATTAAAACCAAGATTAAGTAGCATTTAAGTAGCAACACAAACATAATTCAAGATCACTTAGGCAGCAATTAATCTATCAAGTCAACTCCGTATAAACAGGGGCTACACGAATACACACAAACATTAACACACACACACACACACACACACACACACACACAGAGACATGTACTTTCTCATGCCTGACGCCAAGATCAGTGAAAAGGGCAGCTGACCTTTTCACTGTGTTAAATCACCACTATCCCTGCATCCACTGCACTTCATTGTTCACGGGGAGACGCCGTCCCACGGCCCATTTTTCTACACTGTCATCAGGCTGTTGTCGTGTTAAAAGGGCGTGTTAAGTGTGCTTTTTATTCCTCCTTAATAATCAATATATTGTATATCCCCTGGTTTATTTCCAAGAGCTGCTTTACACTTGTAAAAACAGGCAGCCACGAATGCTTAACAGCTGTCCCGGGACGAGGTTTATTACCTAACCGACGGGCATCAGGGGTTGATGTGTTAGATGAACACAAATAGATGAGTCTTGTAAGCCTCCAGTTACAAGGCTTTGTGTGCGTGTGCGTCTTAAGTTGCCACACCTTTCCTGTCAGTGTCAACACGCAGGGATCATTTAGTATTTCTGCACACAGGCCGGAGTGCACATGACTCAAACAATACACTTGAAGTTAGCATTTCAAATGTTGCTTCAACGTGGAGTTACATAAGCAAAGCGAAAGCTAATATTTGCATGAGCGACACCTTGCATGACTCATGCGGGACAATCTGCCTGTAAGGCTTTAGTGAGCTGAGGACAGTTTAGGGTCATTTGGGTGGGTAGATGTTTCACGCTTTTTGGTCGCCGGCGTCAGCGTGTGGAGTTTGATCAGATGTCATGGAGATGGTTCAGTTGCCATCAAATGACCATAAGCATGGAATTTCAATCCCATGCTTACAGTTCGGTCGTATATGGAGGGGAGGTCAGAACCAATGTTTCTATTCAAGAAGGGGTCAACTGTATCATCTCCATGACTCCACTTAATTTCACCCTCTGATGTAGGTCACGACATGCGGCTGGAAGTGTTCCAGATAACAGACCTCAGTTTAAGAGGAATAGTTTTCTGTGGAATTGCACATATTCGCGCATCAGATCAGAAGATTGCATGCGAACCTGCAGCCGGTTGGCTCATAGCTTAGCATAAAGACTACAATGTTCCTACCAGCGCATCTAATGCTCATTAATGAACACATAGCATGTAACAGAATATATCTGGTTTCTTCAATTCGTACAAAAAAAACAAAAGGGTAGAAACACCAATTCCCCCAAAATCCTTTGCGTCATTAAGAGAGAGAAGAGTCCTAACAAACTGCCGAGTGCATATAAACAAGTTCTACAGCTTTAAACAATTCTCCGCAGGATTGTCAAAAATTATTTAGAACGATATGAAAATATTTACATGAATGTCTGCTCCAGTTGCATATCCACCAGTTATTACAGACACCTTGAGCGTTGTTTGACCTTAGTCAACTATCAATTACGCCGTATATGTGAGAAGGACTGAGGCCGCCTCTGAGAGGATGAAACCGAGCGGTTTACATGTCGACTGAAAGCAGAACCTCAAAGAAGATGAATAGGAACCAATCCAGATTTACAATAAATTAAAAATAAAGCCTGGTATCTGATTCAGTCAGGTGGGTTTAAAGTAGCCTCGCACCGAAAACACGCTAGCAGGAATCTAAAGGTATCAATGTAGAAGTAAAACTATGGATTAAACAGTTAATCGTATATGTCACCACTATCAATGTATACACACACTTCTGTTTTATCTGTGGTGGCCCTCCGGCAATGATCAACAAAACACCTGCTAATGTCAACAGAGAATATTTAGATGGGCTTCCTGTATTAGAAGGAACCGGTCATTACAAATTGCATGTTACTTCCTGCACTGCATGCGTGTGTATTTCCATATTATTTATGGATGTACACGTTTACCCTCCGCAGCATCCCCGGTGACACATGAAGGGCACGATTACCGTAAATACTCTAAAGTGAGGACGCATCCTGAATTCCTGTCATGTCATGCGTTTCCTCGGTAATGTACAGAGGAGGGAGAGGAGGGAGAGAGAGAAAAAATAAAAAAAGGTGAATGCATCACTATCCATTAAGCCCCTGCGCAGGTCATTCCTCTGCTTTCCTTGAGAAAGCCACAGGGTGCACGAAGAAGAGGAGGAAGAGGAGGGGTAACACTGTACATGGACACACTTGTATATATACGACATGGAGTGCGCTTACCTGTGGGGGCTACATTTGCAGCATCAGACGCGTGGTTGGGTAGATCATTCGAGTAAGTGCACTCAGAGCCCAGTACCGCATAGATGACGAGTCCACGTAGCAAAACATTCAATACCTTGTGGATGTAACTCATGGTGGAATAAAAAAAAAAAATTTTTAAAAAGGAGGTGAAGAGCTAGTAATTCGTATCCGTGGGACCGGGAGTGGGGATGACTGGGGAAAATCCCGTGGGGTGGGGGGAAAAAATAGAAAACACAGCAATAGCCAGTCGATAAATAAATAAATAAAGAGTCTTTTTTTTTTTTTAAGCAGGATAAAATATGGGGTGTCAGAAGAAAAAGAGACAGCTGGAAATGCACCAATTTAAAAAGAAAAAATCCCCGCAGTAGACTAAGAGCTAAAAACAGGAGATTACCGTCACAGAAGAGTATAAAATACCCACTAAATAATAGTTCATCGTGGGTCAGAGACGAGCCAAACTACTTTGAAACGAGACCCCCTTCCAAAAAAATAAAAACACTAATATCCTCTAATGGGTTTACTGGCTGTGTCGGAGGGGTGACTGCTGCAAGCTACGACAAGCCAGTCCCCCATGTCTAATTCTACCAATTTAAAATATATATATATAATATATGAGCTTATAATAAAAGACCGCGTAGTGAACACTGACGCCGAAGCAGAGAAGCACATGCAGTCTCGTCTGGAGGAATTCCCTGTCCAAAACAGACCACGCGACAGGAGCTTCTTTTTTTTCCTTCTCTACCGTGGATATCCGTGGGCTAGAAATAAATACCAAGTGCTGTATTAAAATCCTTACGTAGGCCTGTGAGTTGGAAGAAAACAGTCTCTGTACTTCCACGTACAGTACACAAACACCGGGGACAGCCTCAGCATATTGGACTCGCAGCGTCTCATAGGTCCGCCTCTTCACACGAAAGTAGCAAATCCCATCGCATCAGAAAAACACGCTCGCTTCTTCGTCCTCCGTTTCCCCTAATCCTTCTCCCGGCGCGCGACATCCGCCTACTTGTCTAAATGAAGTTTTTTTTTTTTTTTTTGTTTGTTTGTTTTTTAAGTCAGCTCCTCGCGGCTCGGCGTGATACCGTATCACCCTCCTGTCATAGCGGCTGCTCGCCGGGCCGACGCAGACCAGGGAGGGGAAGCCGAGGAGCGAGGGCGGAAGTCAGTATGCAGACTGATTTGACATCAGGACCGGGGAGGGAGGGAGGGAGGAAGGGGGCAGACATTTAGCTTTAATTTTGGTTTTAATTTGGCCACAACTACTGCTGCGTGCAAGGCATGAGGGGAAGCATTTTTATTTATTTATTTATTATTATTTTTTAGAGAAATCAAACAGGGCATCACGTCCATGCTCCCCGGGTGTTCATGCAGTGTGAACGGGTGACGCAACTCTGGGTGTCTGTGGAGCCTATAGGGATTCTTGAGCTGGAGGAATCCTCCCCACTAACTTGCGTTTTTTTTTTTTTTCTATTTTTTGTTCCTGTCATGATGACGCGGAGGATGAGACCCGCTTCATTGTTCTTCACTTCCCTGCTCGAGGGCCACGCAAGTTTTCCTCCCGGCTCCGCGCTCTCATTGGCTGGAGTGTCCCAACATGGCAAAACCTGATTGGCTGATGCAGACAGCACGTTGTTGGTTTTTTTTTTTTGGTCATTTTTTGAAGACGCTCAGCGCGGGAAATTAAAGTAAAGTTAAAGGGCAATGCTGGTGTTTATAATACAATATTTACAACACTATCAAGTGCATCATTAAGTTGTTTATTTTCATTACCAAATGCAATGATAGATGACCAAAAAACAAACATCTAGAGATACAAATCACATCTTTCCATCTTTTTCTTTTGTGGCTCTGTTATCTGAGAAAGCAGCTATTTTTAAGATAGGGTTGACAACGTGTAATTTGGGTGTATTTTGATGAATAATAAAAAAATTAGCTTTGTAAGTAAAAAGAAAAGCCTCCTGTGGACAGGTGTTGTATTTAGTTTTTTGCGACAATCACTAACTAAATGTAAAATAAATGAGTATAATTATAATTGGACCCAACACAACTTTTTGGAAAAAGAAAAAAGGATGGGAAACAGCAGTTTGATTTTAAAAAAATACATTTAACTCTCTTTCTCAAAAAATTAACAACATTATTACTCTTTCCAAAGTATTAACTTCCATGCATTTCCATGTCAAGTCCCCACCACAAAGAAAAAACACAGGACTGTTGAGATTTCTTCAAAGGAACGTTCATTTTAGGGGAAGAGACGTTCTAGGTGCCAAAACCTCTCATTACTGTAGAGCTCACTTATTTACATTCAGGTCTGCAAGCCATTCTGGGCTCAAGTGCTTCTCTACAAGAAACAGAAAGAACTGTACAGGAACGCGTAAAAACCACGAGATCAGTCAAAATAGAAATTCAGTAGCAACCATTTCTTTGAGGAAAATGTTTGAACTAAAACAGCAGCATTGATTAAAACAGTGCATCTGCTCCATCTCTTCCCAGAGACATTACACAGGGCTGTGTCTTTGTAATGTCCAATTTAATATAGTTCAAATCTAACCTAATACTTGTTCAAAAACATAGTGAGCTAACTGTACTAACAATAAATCCATTCAGCCTCAGAGCATTGATACGCAGAAGTCATATCTCCCTGCAATGCATCCCATCAGCCACCAGGAGCGACCTCTAATATGAGCGGTAACAGCAGGTAACAGTTGTCTCAGGAGGAGCAGACTTCTGGAGGCCAAAGGAGCTGCATGATAAAAGAGTCACCCGTGGGTGTCCTAGTAAGCAGGTGGGAGATGTAGCAGGGAGAGAGAGAGAGGGGTGGGAGACAAAAGAGAAGAACAGCATAATTCGATACGAGCCCGCGGAGGGGGGGAGCAGGGAGGAAGACAGCCAACAACAAGGGAGGAATAGAGCAGATGCTACATGTAGGAGGAGGGACGGCGGGTCAAGTCCCTCGATGCTTCGACCCGTCGCTTACCGCTTCAGCTGAAAAATACAGTATGCCCTGTCCGAATATTCACCCTGTCACACAGGCTGTATGTAAATATGTAATTAAGGAGCAGGAAATACCGAAACATGACCGACTCACAAGCTGCCGAACATTTCAAGGTCTAAGCTTTTATTCAATAACCAGGAGGATGGATTCAAACTATTTTATTTCATTTTAAAAAAAAAAAGGTGTTATTTGAGGACATTAAATGGGGTTGGATGAAGGACATTGGCTGACAAAGAATACTGTCAATAACATAGAAACATGATTTGATTTCATTCAAATTAAAGAGGTGAAATACACTGTGTGGACGATACAAAATAGCTGAATACACTTAGGAATTAAATAAATATTCATGATGAAATGAAACAAATACTGGCACTAGAGTAATATGCATATTCTTGATAAATACAATAAATGATGTGTGTACACAGCAGCTTCTAATTCAAGTTACATATTAATCCAGCTTGCGTCATTGCGACGACGCTAATGCCTCCAGTCTCCTCAGTCATCAGCAGCAGCATTACCTAATAGCGTTCTAACAGAGCAAAATTTACACGAGCTAATTAACGCTTTATTAGCCAAGCTTGGAGATGTTGCTGTTGTTCTCCCCTTTTGCCATCTCAATACAATTACTGCTTCATGCAACGCGTCTCTGAACGGAGCGTCTTAGCTGATCCAAGCACTGCTGCGCGTATCGTCTTTCCTGCAGAGTATATGGCTTAGGGAGGTTAGCTTAACCTTACTGCTTAGTAGGCTATACTTACATACTGTATAATATCTAATAACATTTCACTATTTATGGTACATCCATGCTAATTTGGCTTTTTTTTGTCTGAACTATAGTGCAAGAGATGCAAGAGATGCCACCCTGTAGCCTGGTGTTTGTTGGTGGATGATTGCCAACACTGTGTCGGTGTGGTTATAAGCATTGCAAAAGTGGCATTTTGGTAGCATCTGTCTCCGTCTGCTCCAAGTGGTATGTACGTACCACGACTCATATCCCATCGTTTTCCAGTGCTCCTCAGATGGCCATGGCGAATAGAAAGATCTGGATGAGTGGCATGACTTTCAGAGTTGAAAGGTCAGCGAGGACAGCCTGCAGTGTGCATGTCAAACAAAACACAAATAAGATCTACATTCCCAACACCTCCAAAGCAATCTCACCACTAAACCCTCAATAAGAGACATATTTCTACATTAAAAAAAAAAGGAACAACATAGAACGACATGCACGATGATATTGCGGGATCCTTGGGAAGCTTCAGAGTACACCACTCCCCCAACCCTGTCCTTTTGGGATAGGAGGGAGATTAAATTTAGGGACCCTATCGTGTTTAGAGAGAGGGTTTAATATTTCAACGCTGGGCCTGAGGGGTTCTAAATATAAGATAAGGAGCAGTATGTTATGATATCTTCTCTCCTGCCGGGGCAGGTGGTAAATGAGCAAGCAAATATTGCCGGCCAGCACTCTTAGAGCCTTAACATCAGCCTGTCGCCGCCCCCCCCCCCGATGCGTCACATCGTAGTTCAACCCCCCTCGCACTCATCGTATGATTTACTCGTGGTTTTCAGTCATACGATAGTGGGACCACAGTATGTGAGCGGGGGCGCGCGGTATACGTTGCAAGGCATGCACAAGAATAACATTACTGGTTGCTAGAATAATGCGACACAAGTGACCGTGCGCAAGCTACTAGAGGAGGCGCTCGTTTAGCTACAAAGTTGGGTGTGTGCCAAATTTGCGTGACAGAATATCAGACGTATTAATGTGGTTCTGCGCAGAAAGATGCCATCTGGTATGGCTTGTTTAATATCCTCTGTGAAATAACAAGTTTTGTTTCTGATTGGTGGGCGTGGAAGGGGTAAAAGGGTGAGGATTCTTAAGTGTCCAGCCAGGCATTTTTCAGACATGTGCATGCAGAAGACCGGGTTACTGGTACTGGCTGGTTATTAACGGCTATTTACAGCCTTCGAGGAGTATGCAGGGGGTGGACAGGGAGAGGACCGAAGTGTCAAACACACACACAAGTCTAATGTCAGACGGACATACCTCGGCTGAGCCCAGGGACGTCACTTCCATCAGGTTCTCAGCGCGGAAGGCAAACACAGCGGCTGCTAGGACTGGAGGAGGTTTGTGTGCGTGGAGAGGTAACAGAAGAGAGGTGAGGCATATGGGGGAAAGAGGCTCTTACTGCAGAGTTTTGTAGTGCAACAACTCTTACCTGCAACTACCTCCAGCGAATCGTATCCCAGGATTCGGTCCCAGAGAAGAAGCAGCTGGTCGGTAGACAGATAGCCAGAAAAGGCCCGAACCATCCACTTAAAGGCTATACGCAACCTGGGGACCAAAGCAGCACGTCTCAAGGCTCCGAGGATAGATTACGTTTATTCTGATTAGGACATTGTGATTACAGATATTCACCACAAGATGGCAGACACGCATAATAGAAATAAGACCTGCGTGTGTGCAGGGTGTAGGTGACTCCTACGCTTTATAAAAAAGCAGCTGAATACAACTGTTGAGTGACACAGGACCACAAAGAGAAGAGGATAAGGTGTGTGTGTGTGTGTGTGTGTGCAGGCTACTCACGGCTGCGCCCCAATCTGTCGTAGGTGGTAGAAGAGCTGAGGCAGGTGGGTCTGGAGCAGCCGCTCAAACTGCAGGCACAAAGACACGATCCCCTGCAGGAGCGCATGTGCACAAGTTAAGCACATTCACGGAGGTGGAACGTACAGACAAAGCGGAATGTTTTGATCTCGATAATTGGTAGTGGTTTACCGAGGGCGAGGAAGAGATGGAGTGTAATCTGAAGAAGTAGCGGATGTACATTTCCCTGAATACACTGTACAGCTTGGACGGCTCGTTGTACAAGAAACACAAAGGTGCCACTGCAGGACAAAGCAAACGTGCAAATATACACACACACGCACACTGTTATATATTGTTGTTGCAGTATTCCTCCTGGAAGTTTAGTGCGAGAACTATGGGGCAAAATATACTCACCATACATCGAAAACCCATGAAAAGGGATTACACCTGTGAAAATGAGATTTTTCAGTCAATACAGTTCATACAATTTTATGTATTTAGGAGAAGCCCCTTCAGATGGAGTGCTACACACAATAGAAACAATCAAAGCAACAATATTAAAATGGCAACAGACAAAAAAATAAAAAATAGACAAAACAAAAATAGTAACTAATTACATCCATTAAATGGCCAAACGTTACCATTTAACATTTGTTCATTAATGTCACTTTAAACATGCACAATTTCTCAAAATAGGAGATCAAAGCATTCTTAAACATATCAAATATTATATAAATTATTGTATCATCAATGCAGATAAACAGCATATCATTTAGTCTTCATAAAAAACTTTCACAGGTGTGCAAAATACTAAAAAATGTCAAAACCTTTGTTGTTTTCCACATAAAATGATAGCGTGTGAATGTTTGCAGGCTCACCGTTGGGAGGATAAACCACAGCACACTCCTCTTCTCCTCCCTTCCCTGTTCAACAGACACACAGATCAATCAGTAACCAGTGTGTGGGCTTCCTGATTACTACTACTGCCGTGCACGGGTATCTGGGTAAAGACATGGAGGTCATCCGAGTGCAGCAGCTCTCTTTTGAGTTCATATGATGATGTGGTGTGTGTTTGTGTGTGTGTGTGTGTGTGTGTGTGTGTGTCCTTGGTGAAGGCCACATCATCTCACCCTGGACGAAGGATCTGGGAGGAGTGGCACTGTTGTATTTGAAGTGCTCCAAGACGGCAGTGTCTCGAGAGAAACACAGCAACACCTGGCAACACACAGGTGTGGTATTAAACAGGCTCACTTCAAACAGTGTGAGCATGATGGGAGAGAAACATGACTCATCATAGATGAGAGAGTCCCGCCCCCGCATGCTCTATATGAATATATGAATATATGAATGTGTGTGTGTGTGTGTGTGTGTACTCAGCTGAGAGGCTGTATTTTCCATATATATGCCACGCGGACGTTAATGGTCTCAATGAATGAATTATCTGTATTTACATCGTGCTTTTAGAAGTTGATTTGAATCAGTACTCGCATGATTTCAGTCAAGTGATTGAGTTATTTTTGGCATATATGGTTTATTCTACAAATCATTTCATATAAAACCAATGCATAGGCTAAATAAGACATGGGATTAAAAGTGTCCCCCTTAAAATAACCTTTTTTGTCAAATAAAAGTGCATTTATGTCTCTAATAAAACAATAGGCTACATTAAACATAATTGTGGCACGTCTTGATCAACCTTACAGTGAATGTGCCAATAAATAATTCAAAATAAATAAGGTCTTGTGATGCTTCTGAACAGTCAGGAATAGGCAGGGTTTAAAATAAGACTAGCTCTTTACAGACTAAAACAGGACAAGAAGCCTTAATTCTCCCCGACAATAATTCTCCACATGTTTACAATCCGGTGAGAAAACTCGTTCAAATACTGCAATAATGGAGATGAGTGTTTATGATGGCATTAGAATGTGCCGGAGCTCTGCACCTGGAGCCAGCATTTCAGGATGTCCTGATGCAAAAACAGCCCCAGAGGTCTGGAGAGGGACGCTTGCTTCAGAAAATAGTCTGTAAGAAGCGGAGCTCTTTCCATTACGGTCCAATTTCCGTGTCTTTTTTGAGAGCCGATTTCATTTCCACCGACCACTTCAACTGAATTACATTGTGTGTGTGTGTGTGTGTGGGGGGGGGGGGGGGATAATCTCTATCGGGCAACAACAAAATAAGACGGCAGGCATTTATAAGAGTTAATTAATAGGAGCGGCCTATAGCATGTCTTTAATTGTACTTGCTGGGTACAAAAATAGGGCGGTCCATCGTCGTACTTGAAGCGTTTTTGTCTGTTTGTGATAGATTTTATACCGGGAGGCCGGACAACGTTTAATAAGTAAATGCCGTAGAAATAATAAATATAAATAGTTCAGTTTATTGACTTGATGTCGTCTGAAAACCCTTTATTTAGTGCAAACTTTGTTTTGTAGCGGTGCCTGCTCAGGTGAATCAAAGTGAGCGTTCTCATACTTCTCCTGCAGATCTATGAATCCACGCTCACCCCACAGCGAGTGGATTCTTTCACTGCCTGGTGAGTTTGCCATCAGTCAATATTGACGGCGATAGCGGAGCTTTTGTACTTGTGTGCTCATTGGTCGGGCCACCGAGGAAGCGTGACGCGTTGACAGCTGCTGAATAAAACCGGTTGCCGAGTATATGCTGATATGCAAACAGAGCGGCGGCTACCGGGAGCCGCTAATAACAGCAGCTCGTATCCTCGTCTGGGATGAATGCGTAACTGTAGGTACAGAGCTGTAAAACAGTCAGCTGACAAATCACTTATGGCCGATGCTTCAGCTGCTATCTGGTGGAATGAAAACGTTTCATTTTGAATAGCTAGTGATTTTATTTAATATCTGTGGGAGGACCGTGTTGAAACGCTGACTTCTTAAAGAGAGGTGATAAAAAGCTATTACCCGTAGAAAGATGGAAAGGAGGGAAGGACAGAGAAAGTTGGAGTTTATATCATACATAAAAGGGCTCGACACTAACTTTTAAACGTTGTGTATAAAAACTGAAAAAGGTAGACATTTGGCGGTTTGCTGTCCCTATGTTTTATATGTTAAAAAGCGGTGGAGTACCTGGTAGAGAAAATCTTCAAATACAAAGTAGTAGTCGTCGTTACTGGCAGTGAGCTTCACATCCTGGGAGGGCAGGAAGTTTGGAATTACATTTAAATACATTAAATATATATGTATACAGATTGTGTCAGAAAATATTTCCAGGAAATAGCCGTAGTCACGCAGGAGCAATTCTTTGGAGATGGGAATCTAAAATCCGCTCGAAAACCAAAGTTTTGAGTGTTAGTTTTGAGGCGTGTACCTTATAGATGAGGTTGTCCACCAGCAGGTCATGCTGTATGACTCCAGCCGTCAGCTGCTCATAATGCATCACATCCTGAAAAACAGCAACGATCCAACATGGTTTATGTGTATAATAAGCTGCATAAAAGTCGTATCCAGAGCCCGATACGTGTGGCCCTTTTTGATAAATGAACCTGTTTGTTTACAGAATCTGGTGTTTAATCCTATACTGGGGGTTTATCTGGACAAAATCTAACTCCAGTTCTCTGCGGTATGTTAAAAGATCAGCCCGTTCAACTGCTAAATCAAGTTTACGTGTCGTGACGGCGATGACAGGGGGATTAAACCGAGCTTAATGGATGGGTATCCCGTTTCCTGACCCACATGGTTAAACTCAAATCCGTGTCTCCGGTTTGAGACGTGAGGGGAACAGGAACAGAGATGGTCATTTTTTTGACAGCTGATGACGCAATGAGACACATACCGTCCTTCCAACTCTGACTGTTTAATGTGTTTGCCCTTTTGCCGTCCAGAGCCATGTGAACACTCTCCAGACCTCAGTCGGGTCCGTGTCCCCCCCCACCCCCCCCCCCAGGAATCAATCGTCCCATCACGATTGTTTTTATCAACTTGGCCTCAACAGGAGACTCTGGACTCCAGCGATTACTTGCCACATTGCCACGCAGACAAGCAGCTGCTCTGTTTGGGCTAACTGTGCTAAATCGCCGGCATTTGATTATCTTTACATTTAAAAACACACGGGACAAGATACAGTGAAGATAAACTGGTTAATACACAGATTATGTTGCAGGTCAGTGCTTTGGTTTATAACTGTACAATACACAAAGAGGTCCCCCAAAAAAAGCCCTGACCATTATCTGTGAAAACTTCACCTTGGAGTAAACATGCAGTTTGGGAATCACCGCAGCTGTGTGTGCTCGGCTACTTCATAAGAAACACGGTTAACAGCCGCCACCGGGGTGCCACTCAGCTGTGTGTGTGTGTGTGCATATAGTACCTGTGGCTGGTTATTAGAGTTCAGGATGAGGGCCCACAGGTCAGCACGGAGCCCCGTGGAACAGCCCTGCCTGCTGTACTGCTGCGCTGCTGCACTGTCCTGCTCCATAACCACTGGTTCAAAGAGAGAGACATATTTCTATATTTCAATATTTCCTCCATGGCGAGTTTGAGTGCTGACAATCTTAGATTCATTTTACTCAAATAATTAAAAAAAAAAAAAAAATGAATTTAATAAACTCAATAATTAAATTGAGTTAAATTAAAATAAACTATTTATTTATTAATTAATTATATCGACTACATTTTAATTCAATAAATGAATTAAAAGTAATACCAATCAATCCAAGTGAATATATTAGATGAAATTACATCAAATGATTAATAATTTATTCATTTCAATCAATCATTCAATTTAATTAATTAATCCAATTAACTTGAATTGAATCAACCATTAAATTAAATGACATCAAAACAATGATATTGATTTTAATTTAATTGAATACAATAAATTTGACCTGCCGACCGAGGTGACTGACAAGATTTCATAGAAAGCCTCGTGATTTACTGGCAGAATGATATAATAAGTACAAACAGCAGCTGGGAAAATGAACACCTGCACGTCTTGAACGACCGCACAACAACAACGCTAGAACAGTTAAGAGGTTTGTTTTCTTCAGGAAAACTTGGAAAGGACGCAGAAATAAAACATCTTCCGACGTCGGACTTTGATGCATCCAAAAAAAAAACAATAAGATAAGTTATGAAAACTACTAAAAATACACCACCGATTAATCTCAACGAGTGGGCGAGCTGCGGCTTCACAGCCACGTTTGGGTTCCACGGGCTCGTTCAAACGTAACAATCTATAAACATAAAAAAAAAAAATCACAACACAGACATTCCCATAATGGTGATAATTACATAACTTTCCGAAAGAACCCACAGTGGAAACAGCCTCTCCCGCTGCTCCATTCGACCCTAAATCTCTGTTGTGACAGCAGCCAAAAACACACGGCCCTTGACTTAAGGTGCTGGCCAGTCATAACATAAACGAACACACTCCTCGCCTCTTCAATTTCCCGTTTGAGTGCACTTAACAACTTGCTTTTGGAATACAGCTCGAGGGCTTTGGGACCCGACGCGCAGCCAAACTAGGGTGAAATAGTGGACCTGTGGCTGTGTATATAAAATGCAGCTTGTGCTTTTCAGACGCTTGATGTCTGATTGGTGTCCTGAATGAGGCCGGTGTTCATAGCAGAGCAACGAGAGGAGACTGGTGTCTACCGGCCAATCGCTGCACCTGAGACGGCAGAGAGGAAGATTCGTTAACGGCAGAGGAGCTGACGTCGTTCTCTCTCTCTCTCTCTCTCTCTCTCTCTCTCTCTCTCTCTCTCTCTCTCTCTCTCTCCCTCTCTCCCTCTCCCTCTCTCTCCCCCTCTCCCTCTCCCTCCCTCCTTCTTGGCAATGAATTTTATACTGTTGGAAAGCCTGTTTAGTTACCTTTCAAACGGTGCCCCATTTGTAAGGAACATGCATTTCTGGGATGAGTATGTGGGTTGCGCCCATGAAAAATTTGCCAAATCTTCTCTGCCAATGCCAAACAGCTTATTCTGCTGTTGCTATTGACCGCCAGGCCCGTTTGCGCTGGTGTCGGCAACACCTGCACTGGAACCTGAACATGTGGAGGAACGTTATGTTCAGCGATGAGGTCAGATTCTGTCGAAGGAAGTTGGATCGTAGGGTCAAAGTGTGGAGCAGACGGGGGATTGCTGCACCGATAGAGTAACACCTTTTGGTGGAGGCAGTGTGATGGTGTGGGGCGGCATCTCCATCACTGGAAAAACGAGGCTTGTCTTCATTGGAGGCAATCTCAATGCAGAGAGATATCGAGATGAGATTCTGCTGTGTTGTGGCTGTGTATGGTTCTTCCACACGCTACTGAGGCTCCTGTTTGTTCAATGAATAAATTGTAAAATTGCTAATATGTCTTGTTTCTTCCTTGTAACTGATAGACTTCAATCATCCAATCCACCAAACAACACCAAACAAGAGTCAGTAGCAACAGCAGAATAAGCTGTTTGGCATTGGCAGGTAAATAAACAGGCTTTCCAACGGTATAACATTTATTGCCAAGAAGCATTGTTACAACAGAGAAATCTACCAAACACGAATTTCCGAACTTTTTGTTCGATGTTTATAAAATATAAATAAACCCAGATCTGTAATGATTACAGAACACTAGACTCAATAAAGTATTGATACTCCTGGTGCCCGGTTGGTGCTCTTGGTTCAGATTCGGGTGCTTGGACCCCGGTACACCTGCTTGCAGGTCTAATTTATATCAATTTGTGGCGAAAACATTGCACATTAATGCATTTAAATCCCTCAACAAAAGAATTAGAATAACAGAAAGCCATTTAAAGCAATACAATAAGAAACTAACCACACACTGACCTTTTTTCCCGATTTGAACATACTCGTTTTCAAACAAGTCTGCGCACGAATAAGACAGAGAGAGAGAGAGAAGAAAACAGATAAATAATGGCCCGGTATGGGCTCAGTTTTTCAAACTAATGTTATCTCTGTGATTTACAAAGGCAGAGCCGATGGATACAAAGTCTATTTAAAGTCTAAACACCAGGCTGCAACAATGTCAATATATCTGGAACTTAACAGAGATATTGTTTGAGGAAACCCAGACAGCCATGTGGCACAGGAGCGGCCCGGAGCGGTAAACACGCCGTGCGGCCCCGGTGTTCATCAGGTAAACACATTTATTTGGGTTATTTCTGATTGATTGCTGCTAGAATGAAAATGGGTTTAGGTATGAAATTTAAAAAAAGCTGCTGAATGGATGTCTTAGCTCTCGTTATTACTAATCATATACTACATGCTGGTATATATTTCATAGGACAGAATAGACTAAATATAAAGCTTAGCTTAGCTTAGCACAGACGTGTCATTTTTTGTATGTAAATTTCCCAAAATGTGAAACTATTCCTTGAACTACGATGGTGCATGAACTTGTGTGGTAATACCTGGATGGATGTGTGCATGGTCATCAATCCCCAGCTGCCCCGAGGTAAGGTTGAGCTCTGAGTAGGCCCGTCTCTGACAGTTTAACACACACAAAAAACACATTGTACATACATTGTGCATTTTTCTGTGGCAGCTTAATAGGACATGTATGCGTTGAACTCAGCAGGTCACTAATGGACAAAACACCTGCCGCTAGAGAAACAGATGACTCCACATGTGGTCCCCCTACCAGCTGCGGGATGTCCCGGACATTGAGGGGGACCTGGATGAGACCCCAGTGGCTCCTAACGCTGACGTCCTCGCTGCTGTCGTGATTCGGATTGCGCAGGCTGACTAACACCTGTGTGGAAAGCGATAACGCAGCATATGGGAATTCATTTTTGTCTTTCACTGAATACTCTCGAGCTGCACAAAAAACAAATATCTGCCTACCTCCAGAAAGTCTTTCGGGGCATATACAGGCCTGACGCTCGTTAGATCTGGAGAGACACAAAGACATTCATGAATGTCTTCCAGCTGATACATGTACAAAATGTTTACATGTGTTATTCAGGAACAGGTTTACGAGCTGTAAAAAAATAGACTACACAAATGAATCCAAGCGTGAAGTCCCATTTAATGAACTAGAACTTGAATGTACTTCAGAATGCATTTGTGAGACACTCCAAAAAAGAGTACAAGGACGGCCGAAGTACATTCAGACAGCTTTGAGTGGGACTTCCACGCACTGTCATAAATTAAAGTGCACGTTCAGGTTTGGACGGATACGGTGGGGGGGGGGGATGCCACTCGTTATCGCAGCTCTGGACAGCTTCTATGCTCACAGTCCAAAGTGTTTACAGCCGCAGGACGGCACATCCTAAATGTTATGATATGGCAGTGAGCTGTGATAGCATTCTTAGGACACAGGGTCACCGTGTTCTTTGTAAATGTAGCGGCTCGGAGTGCAAACGGTTGGTCCGTTGCGAGGGATGAGACGTGTCTTCTGAGACTAAATTATGATAAATACTTGAGCTGTGCTTAGAATCTAGGCTGTGCTTTCAACCAGAATGGTTTTTTCCCAGAATCAACATCTGGAAAACCCTCATTTTATACTTTACAGATGTTTCAGAGTGTGTACCCCGGTATGTAAAATCTTTCCTGGATGACTACTGGTGCTCGTGCTAGATCTGGTTCAGAGATGTGTTCAGCTGATGCAAAACACACCAGCGAGCAGACACATCAACACTAATCTTTCATAAAAGGCAAGATTGCTCGGGAGGGCCCAACACCCCCCCCCCCCCCTGGGTAAAGTCTGGAGGACCTGGTTCATCTGTGCCCATCTCGTTCCATTTGTTGGCGAGCTCCTTCTGCTCCGCCGCCGGCCTCTGCGGAGTGGACGGGGAAAAAACAGGGAAGATTTCAACAAAACAAAACAGGAACCAATCTTTGAAAAATGTCACATTAGAAATTTTGGTCGGGAAATATAATCACGAGTGCGCGGCAACAACAAATCATTAAAAAAAATGATTTCCAAAACAAGCACTGCCTGCTTATTTTTTGAGTATTTCTGCACTGTGAAATTATTGACGGCCTGTGCCAGAGAACCTGAAGTAAGAGCCGCTGTAATTACACGACTGTCCGTTGGCTGCGATTGACAATACTGGACTTACCATGCGAGCCAGAGGCACTCCAAGTTCTGTACTCATGCTGTTCAGGCTTTTGAGGACACGCTTCTCCCAGCCGGCCTGCGTGAGAGAGAGCACACACACACACACACACACGTTCAGAACTACTTGGCTTCGGATACCGTGGTACCTGGGTGATAAAAAACAAACAACAACAACAACAACAACAACAGGGTCTATGTCTCTGAAATCATAGAGAGAGAGAGAGAGAGAGAGAGAGAGAGAGTGAGGGGTGACGGAGATAAGAAGAGACAGACTGACCTGTGCCGCTCGCATGTAGGCCAGCGGCTCTTTGAGATGCTCTGGAGGAGCTGCGGGATGACTCGGGGGCAGCTGGCTAGAATAAGCAAACACAAGAGAGAGAGGGGGGGGGGGGGGGCAATGGGTGTTACAGTACAATAAAAGAATCAAGTAAATACACACTGTGTTGTTGAGGGATTGAAGCCACGATGAACACAAACAACATAACGTTGTTATAAAGAACTGCTTTAAAAGTGCTTAAGCTGTCAAACAGAAAAGGCAAATATAACATGTTGAGATTCCTCTTTGTTAAAACAGGCAGTCAGTCACCATTAGTGCCTCAAGATGGGTCAGAGCGCGTCTCACAGCCAGACCCGGCAAACCGTCTCATGTCACCCCCCCCCCCCACTAGGCATGCTCAGGGCCATATTGGATGACTCAAGGTCTCAGTGCGTTAAACAACGTTGGAAGTACTCTAAACACCTATAAGAGGGCATAGGGCTGACTAATGGCCAGAAGAAGGAGGCATTAGTCAAAGGAGTATGTCATCCTGTTTTCAGTGTGAGCTGAGAGAGAGAGAGAGAGAGAGAGAGAGAGAGAGAGAGAGAGAGAGAGAGACGTTGCAATCAAAGGTGAGAGAGCACAGTGGTGGCAACACCTTTCAAAAGATGTTTATTGAAGATGCAAAGTGTTTCCCAGCTGTTTGATTCTAATAAAGATTACTAACGAGGGCTAAAAGGACCTAAATCCGGATTATTATGGAGCAATTAACAACGGCGTAAGATGTCTTTCTTGATAGCCACAATAGCTAGTGAGCACATGAAGCCAATGCTACTGAAAGGAGAAGGTGAACATGACAATGTGAGGTACAAAGATGTGTGCAAGGCTACTTTGTATCCAAATGATCAATTATACCCAAAACTCACACTGTGTGTGTGCGCGCATGTGTGTACGTATGCGTGTGTGTGTGTGTCACACAGATAAACGAAACTGCATGTAACTTACACTTGCAGTTCTCTGTACACTGCATTCTGTAGCTGTCTCTCCCAGCCTGTAAAGCATAAAGACACGTTATCACCACACAGACATAAACAATAATACATTAGTTGTAGTTTTTATTAGAATAGGCAGGAGGCTCAGTGACAGTGTGTGTGTGTGGGGGGGTGCAGAAGAAGACAGGAATGTGCCCACCTGATGTTTTGAGAAAACTGCGCACGTCTTCTTTTAGGGAATCCAATTTGATGTCAGGTTGATGTAAACACTCCTACATGACATTTGAAGCACAACACAAACAGTTGGATGTGTTATATAGAGTGTGTACGCTGTGTTCTTACATTGACAGCAACAACCTGCTTCGTTATAGCCACAAGATAGCTAGCTAGCTAGCTAGCCCCCCCCTCCCCTCCCCTCCCCTCCGCGCTCACTTTGGCTCGTCTCTCTATCTGAGAGTGTAAATGGCTTCCTTTCAGCCGCTGGACGATGTGAGCGATGGTCAGCGATAACTCGGAGCCCTCGTCCATCCCTCCTCAACCCAAAGTGTGGCGTCTGAAACGCGGCTCCGTTTTGATGTATCGTGCGTTAGCCAGCATCCGCCCCCTGCAGAGGTTACTTAGCAACTGAGGGACGGTGCAGGAGGGGGGAAACAAGAACCGGAAACTTTGGTTCCGGGGTGAAGATCTTTCATTTTTCTAATGGAAATACTCAAATAAAATACAAGTACATGAATACTGTACTTAAGTGCAGTGCTTGAGTAAATAACATATATCACATTTGAAAAAACCCTTCACGTGTGATACATTTCAGTGTTGGGATGTAGTGCTAACTCAGTACATTACTCATGTACTGCAGGCCTTACGCTCAGTTTTGTTGTACTTGTACTTCACTTGAGTATTTCCGTTTGTGCTCCTTCACACTTCCAAATATTGCACTTTTTACCTCACTGTACTTATCTGAGACCTTAAGTAATATGACTTTTTATATGATCGGATAACAAAATATAATTTATAATTGTTAGAAATAAAAACACCCAACATCTTATAATGTGGTAAATATAGCTCCACCTCAATGAAATGTTGCGTACACATGAATATGCATCCGTTTTGACGATCAAATAATATCATATACATTCATATTACTCAATAACAGAGTGTTTTTGTGCAGAATGAATACTTTTACTGTTGATGCTTTGAGTACAGTTGATGATAATACTTCTGTACTTTTATAAATGAGATTTTTATGCAGGACCTTTACTTGTACTTAGCCTACATGAATTCCACATGTGCATTTTTGTATGGGCATAACTTCAAATGACCCCAAAAGGAATTGCTCTAGTTAGAGGCGAATTAGAGCACCAGTGTGTTCATCCTGTTTACTTCCGACGCAAAAGCAATTAAGGTGCATCTGTTGTGAAAATGATTCGTGGATGTTTTCATAGAAGTGACAGTGATGTCATAAAGCTGCTTGGACATTGTAAACCCATCTCTTGTGTTTGATTAACCACCAGCTAGCCTTGAAATATCACCAGCTGTTTCTCTCACATGCGAATATAGCTTCAAGCCCAACTCTTTCATCAGGGGTTTATAACAACATTAATAATACGTTCTTGGCTCTTGCAGGGACAATATTGTTCAACATGTGACTGATCCCAAAATATTGGAGTTGGCGTTGTTTGGCCACTAATGACAAGAGCATCTCTGCACCCTTCAGAACAATTACAGCAGGAGCCAATGGACTTCCATATTGCTGCTGACATGTTCACATGAAATGCCACTGCGGGCAATAGCATGCTTTGAAATGTGTCATGGAAGCATGGTCACAGATAGCCTAGACGCAGTACAGAACACTCATGGTCCCAGATATCTGACATTTAGAAATGCAGTTCATTTCAGTGTTGCACCTTGACTTGATGTTTTTTGGCCCATCATTCCTCTCTTATTAATGATGCGGGGAATTTGACATATTCGAGGTATTAATAAAGAAGCAAGAAGGATGTGCTCAATGCAGACAAGATATTGCCTGCTTATCTGCAGAATCTCTATTACTGCAATGAATTACGACTGTTTGTTTTATAAAAACGAAAAAGGGGGGGGAAGGGGGGCGAGATGCTGACTTGCACAAGTTGCGACTTGCGGGCTGAGCACTCAAGAATGCAACCCGTGCACATGTCAGTAGATGGAAATGCTGAGTACGAGTGGAGCGCAGCGCACCAGAGCGCACGGAAACTTGTAGAGACCATTATTATTATTTTCCTGATTTCTTCTTTTTTTTTTTTTTTTTAAATCGACTGAGACGGACTGCTGTGGCACTTCTCATTGTTTTTTATTTTCGTGCATGACGCACGCTCTTCATACCATATGACTGATTTTTTTTTTTTTTTACTTTGAGGCTATAGGAGAGAACGCGACATGGAGACGTTTACAATACACGACATGCTCATGAATTCAACTGACCTGAATAAGATTTTATGTAATTTTGGAATCAGGAATATTTCGGAGTGCGAGCAGGAAACTTCACCCGAACCTAAAGGTACAGTGAATTTATCTATTTTATGTTACTCTGAAAAATCGTATATAACATCCTGTCTAACAGCAGATAGTTGTATTCAGAAATGTGATGTTTTCTTTTGTTCCAAATGCAACCAATTTTTTGTGCCAAAAGAGCGAGTGTTTTTGGGCATTTCATTGCGTCAATGCGCATTGGGCACATATGGCTCAGGACCTCGTCAACGCCAGTCTGCTATTAGTGACACATATGTTGTCGGTGAACACTGGTTTTGACAATGCCAAGTGAACCGAAATGCCATTAAACACGTTATGGATACAAGATGTGGGATTAAATGGCACAAGGCTTGTGCATTTCTGAGGAGAACAATCTAAGAGGAAGGATGGTGAGAGATACCGTCCCAAAATCTACTGTGTATAAATTAATAAATAGGAATATTTTAGAAGTATTAGAGTGATTTAAGGTCATTTCAAAATACAAAAGAAACCACGTGAGGGACAGCGTGAGTAAAAATAGCACACATTTTAAGAATGACGTGCCCAGAGTTTATGCGTTTGTGCACCCGTGTGTCTCCCACTGCTCTCAGACATCAACCAGAGCGTGCGGATCGTGCTCTACGGCCTCATCTTCCTCCTCAGCCTGATGGGCAACAGCCTCATCATCGCAGTCCTGGTGAGGAACAGGCGCATGAGGACCGTCACCAACCTCTTTCTGCTGTCTCTGGCCGTCAGCGACCTGATGGTCTCTCTGGTCTGCATCCCCTTCACCCTCATCCCCAACCTCATGAGGGACTTCATCTTCGGCGCCGGCATGTGCAAGCTGGTCATGTACTTCATGGGTGAGGGAAATTATGATATTAGATTATTTTGTTGGTCTTTAAATTGAGATATATGTAAATGGTTGTCTTTTTGTGGTCTTAAATGATCTTTACAGTCAAATTATACCGTTTTCTGAACTTAAATGACTAATGTCACGTGATTTTTGACCATATCACTCATCTATTGTTGAAATCTAGATAAAAGATATCATTGTGATACCTCAATTTATTATTATCCCCAATGTAGACTTCCTTTCAAGTAAAGAAAATGCCATGTTGCAAATATAGGTTTTGCATCCAAGTTTGATTGAAATGTGTATATGTTATATATTTATATTTGTATGGTGTATGTATGTCGGAGAGAGAGGATATTTACAGTCATATTAGGCAATGTCCTGCACAAAGGTTCCTTTACGAGCATGTTCATGGTGATTTGGTGATTTAGTGAGTTAAAAATGAGCTAAAAACAGCTCTAGTCAAAGTAAACATGTCGTCAAAAAGTGTGGATTTACCTCAAAGTACACTCACCCTCATGAATATTTACAGACAGGGTCTATAATTGGTCTAGAGCAAAAGGATTCTTCAACAAAACTTTAAAGTCCCCCCTCAAAGCATGTGTTTGAGCTTCACTGTGCAGACCGAAGACGTATGTGCAGAGTTTGACACTGAAGGCTGTTTTTTTCAGTCACATCTGTTGAAGGGGGGGAAAAGTTCCACTGCGCTCACTTTGAATCTGAGTTTAAGGCCTGTACGTATACAAGCAGCCAATCCAACATGGTCTGATATGCGATTTCGCAGAGGTGTGATGTAAGATACAGTGGCTGAACATAAGACAGCTCAGCGCAAGTAAGCAGCACAACCTGACCCACTTAAGTCAGACAGAGGCAAATCAAATCAGTACAGGAGTTGAGAAAGACAAAGAGCGTTCACTCAACTTCGAAAGCATTATTAGTTCTGCCACACTTAAATAAAATCATTTCTATAAAAAGCCTTTCACAAAGAAGTGTATTAACAGCATTAACTTTCAACAAAAGTGTTAGATAGAACTAAAATGTACAACCAAATCAAAATCCCTGCTTTTAGTTTAACTGCAAAAAATCATATGAGTTTGTTTGTTTGTGGTCAATTTGTATGCCTATCACCGATTTAAATGACTTCCAAATTATTTCTCCAGCAATAAATAGCGGAGGCCGCAGACAGTCAATCAGAACAGGGATGTGAAACAACTCTCCCGTGGCTTTAATTCGCTTGCTATTGTGATGAATTCCAGAAGTTCTTCTCTCGCAGAAAGCCTCGTAACGAGGTACAGCCATTACAGATGACGCACCTTCACTAATATTTCACTCTCATCTAATTACAGGTCTGCTAGAAAATCAGATTTTGCATTTCTCTCCTTACTTCCTGTCGCTCCGTCATCCAGGATTATTACCTCGTTTGTTCGCGTGTTTATCCGTTTATGTGTCACTTCTCTCGGATCGTACACGGCGATTATTCAAATGTATTTATAGCTCTTATTGTTATTGTTGCCGAGTGTGTTAATAACACAGGATGTAGGCCTACCTTAATGTGTAATTTAATGTCACTACAAATGACTGTGTCACAGCATCACGAGAGCGCCGCAGTAGCCACATGTTGTGAGGATGCTGACCGTTCTGGGTGTTACAAAGCCAGAGGGAGAAAAAACAAAAACAAAGGTGGATGGAAATGGTACCTAATTAAAGGAAAAGTTGCATTTTGGGAAATGCACTTAATTTGCTTTGTTGCCGAGAGTTTGATACCACTCCCATGTCTTTCTGTCTTTATGCTAAGCTAAGCTAAGCTAAGCATCTTATATCAATCTTCTCTTCTGTTTATTTGATTGCTATGCTCATGTATGGGAGGTCCTTCTTTTTCATGTATTAGATTATAGTTCTAATGTTTGAGGGGCTCAACACAGAAACTAAAAAAGTCGGTCGTCTGTATTTTGGCTTTTCTGATCTGTGCAGGTGTCTCAGTGAGCGTTTCCACGTTCAACTTGGTGGCCATCTCCCTGGAGCGCTACAGCGCCATCTGCAACCCGCTGACCTCCAGGGCGTGGCAGACCAAATCCCACGCCGCCAAAGTCATCACCGCCACCTGGGTGGCGTCCTTCATCTTGATGCTGCCGTACCCCATTTCCAGCGGCCTCAAGCCCTTCACCCGCCACAACAACAGCACCGGATACATGTGCCGCCTCGTGTGGCCCAACGACTTCATCCAGCAGTCCTGGTGAGCTGAAAAACAAGCGCACAAGGGAGCGTCGTACCTTCCCCGTCCCAGCAGGGTGCCTTCACACTCGGATGCACTCGGATTGTGCGGCAGCCAACGTAGCACGTTGCTAATTTCAGATGGCCCCTTTTATTGATTTTTCTCAGTCTGGTGCTGCTGGTGAGAGATGACCACTTTGGGGAAATCTGCTGGCATGACACGGATCTGACCCTTCAAAACAAAAGCATACCATTTTAAACAAGAAAGTCAATCTGCCAGGTTGATTTAGTTAAACAGCACATTTGAAAAACAAGACATGTTGTGCCAAAGTGCTTTTAGGGACCGGATTAAAAGTACATTTAAATTGCTTTAATGGAAAAAACACAAGATAAAACAATGTAGAAAAGATAAGAGGCTTATTACCCTTCAAATACAATACAAATCTTGTGTTGTCATGATGATATTAGTCGAGACTCCAAGGCAGGGGATTCTAATATTGGCTCTGTTGTTGATTTAACTAACAGTTAATGCTCTTACTCCCCTGAATGTGTCCCTTGCAGGTACGTGTCCCTGGTGTTGCTGCTCTTCTTAATCCCCGGTATCGTCATGATGACGGCCTACGGACTCATTTGCCTGGAGCTCTACCGGGGCATCACCTTTGAGCTGTCCAGCAGGAAGTCTAGCAGAGGTATGGAAATAAAGCACAGCGAGTAATCAAAAGCAACATTTCCTTTTCAACATTACTATATATTTCCCTATAATAAGTTCTATGAAAAGACCAAAACCAACGATATCTTAGTCCAATGTCTCAATACTTTACGACCTCCCTAATCTGTCTGTGGTATTTAACTCCCAGCCCACTGGTTTGTACTGAATCTTTAAAAACACATCAGAAGCATAAAGTTTATTTTTAAAAGGTTAAAGAATTCCCGATGCCCGCTGAGCACTGTAGATTGTAGTAACCGTCTCTGAAACGGGAGTAAAAGGTGCATTTCTTTGGGACTATTTTCAGCTGCGGATTGATACACATTTGGTGCTCAAGTGAGAGTTTACAGCATCAGGTTTGTAAGACTGACTCAAAATGAGCAACAGGGCCAACATCCAAAAAGCAGGTTTATGGTTAGAATAAATAAGCTGTATTAGGATTAGCTACGACGATACTTTATAGAAGGATCAATTCATTGTTACATTTGGTCCTTTCTTGAGAAATAGAATATCACCAGACTTATCCTTTAACTTGACATATCAAATTAGGAATTTTCTTTTGGAAATGCATCCCTGGCTTTTAGGAAAGTCTTACATTTATCGCTCTTAAGTGGCAGACACAACCTCAACTGTCCTGGTTGAGTCATGAGGGATTTTATACTGCTGATAAAACTGCACTCTGACACTCCAGTCTTTCCTTTTCATATTCACCCCCCCCCTCCCCCCCTCCTCCCACTCCCCTGGCAGAAAGACAACTCAGCACTGGCAGCATCAAACCCGGTGACAGCGACGGCTGTTACCTGCAGCCGTCCAAAAAGAAGACCATCACAGCCAGCACAGGCCGCCCCAGCAGCAAGCCCACAGTGGGCCGCGTGTGCGGCAGCAGCTCCACGACCAACCTGATGGCCAAGAAGCGCGTGATCCGCATGCTGCTGGTCATCGTCTTCCTCTTCTTCCTGTGCTGGACGCCCGTCTTCGTGGTCAACGCGTGGCAGGCCTTCGACCGGCGCTCGGCCTACCGCCTGACCGGGGCGCCCATCTCCTACATCCACCTGCTGTCCTACACCTCGGCCTGCGTCAACCCCATCATTTACTGCTTCATGAACAAGCGCTTCCGCCAGGGCATGCTGGCCACGTTCACCTGCTGCAGCTGCTTGGGGAAGAGAGGCGGCGGAGGGAGCGGAGGCGGAGGCGGCATGGGGAGGTCGGCTGGAATCTGGGATGCTAAAGGGGAGGCGGGCAGATTGAGGGCGAGGCTGAAGGCCGCAGAGCAGAACGGTCACACCCCGCCAAGTGGAGCCAGCACCTACACCGGCACCCGGGCCTCGGCCTGGAGTGAGCTGACTTAAAGTGGATCGATTCCTCTGCGTAAAAGAGCTCTGGCCTGAAGTGCAAACACTTTAAAGGGAATCTTGTTTGTTTTTTAAGGCCCTCACAGCGCTTATAGGACTAGTTTAAGAGCAGCTGCGTCGCTTTAGCTCGAAGTGTAACGTGACGTGGGTACAGTTGTTGTTAATGTGGAGCAGTGGAGGTGCACATCCAGTGCATTCACGGCACATCAACGCAGCCAGATGTGTTTTTCTAAAGCCCGTAGTGTCCAGGCGTTACAGGGCCTCAAGTCTAAAGCAGAAAACAAATTAATGTTGTTTAACCGCTCGCTTTATACACATTTTAGTTGTCAGCTGTAGCTGGAACTGCACAGGGTCCAAATAGTCTTTACAGTTCATTGTTTTTTAATTATGTGCACCAGAGTGAGAAAAATCCAGAACCACAATCGGTGCCAGAGGGAAAATGAGAAAGAAAAGTAATTATTTTTCTTACTTACCAGTTATGACCAAGGTCTGCTTCACCTGAAATTACATTTAAAAAAAGGTGAGTGACAATTTGCAAGAAGCCCTCGGTGATATTCTTTCGCGAGTTGACAAATGAGTTTCACCTCGAGGCTAATTTCATTTAGTAACTGCTGCGGAGCCTTCGGTCCTCCCTCATCTTCATCAGCAGATTGAGTTTCTACCAGTTGTCATGGAAATGTTCCAACTTGCACATTTCCGTGACAAACGGGCAAACTGGATGTGCTGATGCGGATTCATGCGATCGGATCAAAAGCTGGTTTAACAGCAAAACTACATCAAAACATCCTTTCACAAACTCACAATACTCAGTGCAGTTTAATCCAAGTGTCACTTATCCAGTCGTATGCTCACTAAACATGCATCCTCGGAGAAACCTATTTAAAAGTTGTATTAAATAGCAATAATGTATACGTTGGTAAACAGGCTTTTTATTTGTCATTATGTCACACCACAATGTAACTGTAATCAGCAGCATCAAAACAGTCATCCAGTGCACAAACAGTTCTGCTCTTGTCCTTGACTCGCTCTGTGTGTGTGTGTGTGTGTGTGTGTGTGTGTGTGTGTACGCGCCTACAGGAACTGCAGAGGCCTTATCATTTAGTGGGACTTTGAACAGCTGCATCACCTCTCCTTCAAAGAGCAAATTCCTGGCATTACCCCCCCCCCCGCATTACCCCCCCCCCCCCCCCCCCCCCCCGATTCCTACTGTTAAATATAGCAGCGTTCATGTAGCAACTTATTCCCACTTTGTTGTGTGTTGTAACACTGTTGTATAAATTCTTACTTTAAAGTGTGATGCGTTCATAGAGATTGTGTTTTATTGCGTGATGACGTGCCTACAGAAGTCCTGTTGCACTTAAACATGATTGAATGTAATCAGTGATTTCACAGGTTGTTTATTGTACATCTTGAAGTGTTTTCGGGCGGGGGATGGTACCGTGTTCTTTTCGGTTTTGATGTATAGACTCACAAGCCGTCTCCGAAACAGCCAAACGTCTGGTTGACCATATAAAGACCGTGAGCGCCCAAGTTCGCAGATGCGTTTGGAAAAAAAGGCTGGAGGCAGAGCAACTGTGAGCTTTTAACGGCTTTAATGAAAGTGGATCTAAAGGACAGAGGGCATTAGGGCCCAGACAAGTGGCGGAAAGAAAAGGGGGGGAAATCTGCTGGGACTTCATCCCAAGGATAAGAGCTCCATTTGGGCTCGGTAGATGCCAAAGAGCCCTGGGAGATGCTTAGCCGTCACTGTAGGAGGGAAGATACACAAGTCTGGCATTATCATTTGTAAAACAAAAAAAAAAAAAAATACATGCTTACATTACTGATGACCATTAAAAACATTACACAAAGTGAGATTTTATATCACTTTTTTTATTTCTCATTTTTATGCCAATATTGCAAGTTTTTTTTCTCGTTTTTTTTTTTCTCTTTCTTCTTTTTAATGACATACAGATTTGAGCATGATCTGGAGCTGCAATATGTACAAAAAACTAACGTACGTTATCAAAAAAACAAACAAACAAAAAAAAAACAACCGTCCCCTTTTGTTTTTGACGTTATTGCTAAATGTTACAAACGGCACAAGGTTTTCCTACCAATCAGCAACCCTTCGAGCACTGAGTACACTACCACAATGACACCTCTGCTTACCAGTTACTAGAATAATACACAGATACAGTGAGAGGGAAAGAGATCGAGAGAGCACATGGACAAGGAGAGGATATGACGATGAAAAAAGGGTGATCCAACTGTAGCAAAGCTAAGCGTAAAAAGGCTGTTAAAACTCCAAATGTACATAAACGTGAGCGGGTGGAAGAGTGAGGATGAAATGTGTGAGAGGGAAAAGAAAAAGGTAAGCGCTCTGTAGCGCAAACAGCCGAATAGTGTGAAGGAGAAGTGAAGGCTGAGTGCGACAGAGAAGGGGGCTTCCACGCCGTTTGATTTAAATGGGTTTAAAGCTGCCTCTCACTCGGCCCCCGTTTAGTTTAGCAGTGCATGAAAACTACGCTATATAAAAAAGACATTTGGCATATTAGAGGATACATAACATTGTTCAGAGCTCATGATATAAAAACAAAGAAAACACAACAAACAGCTGCTTTTGGAAGAGTAGAACAAACATGACCACACACACACACACACACACGCACACAGAGAGAGAAACCGGTTAAGATATTTGTGGAAGAAGGCGTGTAACATTTTCTTTTTACCCCTTTTGACGATGATTCGTTCCCTTTGCGCGCTTGATATCGAGTTACCCTCCCTATCCCATCACGCTTTTATTAAGAGAGAATATAAACCAGCTCAGATTGTCACATTTTGAAAAGCACCCCCCCCCCTTCTTTATTGGTGAAGAGCGACAAAAGCTGCTCTGTTCAGACTCGCGTGAGGAGATCCAGAGGAGCCAGGGGTTGGTTTAGCCGTAAGAGGTGACTCAGCATGTAAACAAAAACCCAAAAATATCCAAGCTCGAGGGGGGGGGGGGGGGGGGTGTGAGGCTAGATGTTTAAAAAAAAAAAACCTCACTGAATTTTTAGAGCTAGTAGAAAAAAACACTCAAAAGTTTAAAAGTCTACAGTTTAAGATTGCGTGACCTCCATCCTGCAGAGTAAAGGGTTCAGGCTGACAGACAGGAAGTGGCCTCTTTGAACGGGAACAACACAAAATAAAAAAAACACACTCCCAGGCCACCCGAGGCAGCACGGGCAATAATGCACTTTTCTTTTTTTTGTTGACATAAGACAAGGGGAGACTTTGTACCAATAATTTAAAAAATATCAATATTACAATATAAAACATTTAACATTAATGACTGACAGGTGGGCGAGCAGGTGGCAAAACGGGGGCATAACTTAATCTTTTTTTTTTTTTTTATTTAGTTTTTTTTTTTTTTTACAATGAAGGGGGGTGCAAGCGAATCCTATTTTCGTTCCTATTAAATTTGTTTGTAGGGAACACTTCATTAAGCAGACATTCAAGTTACAGTATCGTTCTGGTTTTTTTGTGTATACAGTCGTACTGTAATACTAGATCACAAGTATTGCCTTTGAGCGTTTGACCGTGGTGGAAGACAGAAACACCTCCGTGAATAAAAAGTTACTTTCTTTTGTTGTTTTTTTGGGGAGAGCAGTTGGAACACACTTTTGAAATGGAGCGAGTCTGACTCGATATTCCATTACAGCAACTACATGACAGTTACACACACACACACACACACACGCGCGCACACACACACGCGCACACACACGCGCACACACATATACACTTTGCTGGCTGGTGAACTAGTGCTCAGGCGGGACAGAAGACGATGAAATGACCTGTACAATATTGCTGTTCTTGCACATCTTTTCAAATAACACACATTTAGAAGGCCTTTTATACTCCTACAGGAGACACGATCACCATGAACACAGATGAGTGCAACTACTCGGGACAGTGAGTCAACAACGTACACAAGCTTCTGCAAAGATAATACACCACAGGAGATCCTTTTTTTTTTGTTTGTTTTGTTTTGTTTTAAAAGGCTGAAAAGAGCCGACGGCGCTCGTGAGACGTTGTACCAAAAGTGGGAAGAAAAAAAAAAAAGGTGCTGGGCACCGCATGAGAATAAAAAAAAAAAAAAAACGGGCTTATTATTGTACACCAAGGAAGACGAAGGCCGAGAGATCCTTCGGAAAGGCTGCATTTTGCATGACGAGGTGGTTCCTGTGACGAGAAGCGAGGCGGTAGCTTGGTTTTTGTGTGCTATTCACAGGTTCTTCCGAGGTGAGTAAACAGCAGATATATACGTAAGGTGAAGTACTTGTTTGTTTTTTTGTAATTGAAGTTATCGGTAAGGCCACATCAAAATTCTCTTCTTCTTTTTTTTGGGAAAACCCCGCTGGAGTTAAAAACGCCACCAGCACATACACCGGAAGACCCCTCGCTTAGGTGCAGCTCTACATCATGATACGCCAACAGTGACCAGCAGAGCAACAGGTACAGGATATTAGATATGTGAGCGACTGTGTACACGGTAAGAATATACAGTACTAAGGCTATCCTCTTGAAGTCAATGACTACGCTTTGTTACGTTAGTTTGAAAAAAAAACAAAACAGACTTGATTTTCGTAAACCGTGGAAGTTTTTTTGTTTCTTTTCACGTATTCTGCAAAATGTTGCTATGGCTCCATGTGAGATGTACTGATGTGTATACTTTCCAAAAGAAAAAAGGAGACATAGCGCACATAGAGTATTGCAGGCAAGGCAGAGGCGTTGCTTAAAGCTTTTCTTTTTAAAGACTTCATTAAAAACCAATGATAAAACATAGGCCCTCTGAGGTCCCCCCCCCCCCCCCAAAAAAAACACAAAACAAAAAAGCAAGAGTATCAAAAAAAAAAAAAAGTTCAATCCAAAGACTGAAAAACAGGCGTTTTGTCGTCAGGTCGCAACAACATACAGGTTGGGATTTTGGACCTCGAAAAGGGGGGAAAACAAAACCCAAAGCTCAGAGGAAGAATAGAAACTATTTGGTAACAAAAGTGTACTATATGTTTAATACAAAAAAAGGTATGGAGAAAAATGTACCTTTACTAAAGCTTATACAAGATCCTTGGTCCATAAAAACTATGTTATCGTCACGTTTTATGTGTGTCCCTCTGCATCCTTTGTCCCTCCAACAACAATACATCCAGCCCCCCCTTCAGGAAACCACAAATCAATGCAAAGAAAAAAAAAAAAAAGGAATAATTATAAAACAAGTGGTGGGAGGAGGTTGGGAGGAGGAGGACGAGGAGGAGGGGTGGCGCAAAAAATATACGTTCCTTTCAAGAGATTTTTGTTTTGTTTTTTTGTACACGGTGGATGTATTGCTGTTGTGGTTTCCATTCTCACAGCCGCAGAAAAGGTGCTGGTGCTCCGAGCCTGCAGGAATGTCACTCATTCCACACTCCAGGTCCCTAAAGTAACCACAGAAGGGGGGTGGGGGTGGGGGTGGGGGGGGTGGTCAAGGATTCCCATTGGCTGACAGCGCTGTGATGTCACTCCTCCCATCGGATTCCCCCCCTGCGTTTGCTCCTTTTCTCTCCCGCCAAAATTTCAGCTTCTTTGTATCCAAAATGAACACGCAGCACTTTAGAGTGAGTCTTCGTTTGTTACTTCCCCCGTAGTCAGTTATATACCTTGTGGTATTTTGCTCTCAAGGCATATAGTAGCGAGTGGCCCCCTGTGTGCGTTAGGAGACCACCGCGGCGGCGGAGGACGAGGACGTGACTCCGGCGTTGGAGGTGCTGTTGGGGCCGTAGACGCCGGGGCCGGCCTCCTGGGTGCTGCTGTTGTTGCTGCTGCTGCTGCTGCTGAGCAGAGTGGAGCTTCCGGCCCGCAGGATGGCCCCGGCGGCGCTGCAGTGCGGCCGCGGCCCCGGCTCCGGCGTGTAGGTGAAGGTCAGCGTGGTGGAGTAGATGATGCCGTCGTTCCGGACCAGCGTGACGGGCACCTGGACGGGCTGCCGCACCCAGCGCCAGCCCTCGCGGAAGGCCGAGATGTCGGGCACCACGCACAGCATGCTCTCCGCACACCTGAGGGGTTCGAGGGGGGGGGGGGGGGAGACAACACAGGGCGTGACGTGAGAGTCGTCACATGAGCCTTAAGCTTTGAAATTCTGTGTCAGCATTTTAGCCCAAGCCCAAAACAACTGAAGCCTCATTAACATCTCAGGTCTGTAGCAGTCAGGGAGGTCCCACTGTTTTCGCTGACAACGGTTATTCTGGCCTCTGACCTACTGCTTAGTGGGTGGTACTGATAAACACATCAAATAAAACATATCTATAAAACTCAAGAGGGAAAGCTAAGGGAATGGCTTTGTACAAGGGTGTAACACTGCAGTGCTTTGGCTCACTCGAAGCCAAATAACCACTGAGCGGGTTTGAAGAAGCAGCGTGGTACAACTTGAGTTATAGGATTGAGGCCATTAGGCATTCAGAGGGTCTGACAGAGAGCATTTTTGAAAGCTTTCATTAATTCAAATTACATTACTAACTTATTCATATCTCCGTTATAGGCATTAAACTTAAAGCCCGTCATTTTTCTACGACTGCACGATCCCTAATAAATCCTTAAATCAGTCGTAATAGACCATTTGTATGCTAATGAGGGGAAAAGAGAAATTCTAGCTAACGGGTCTCATTTTGGCCGAGAAAAAAAGAAGGAGTCCGTCATGAGTTACATTTAAAAAAAAGTAAGAGGCACGGGGGGGGGGGGGGGGGACACCTTACCGAGAATCAGTCAAATTAAACGTAAGCAAAGACACACCTGTACATGGTCTCGGCCTCAACGTCTCCGAACCAGACCCGCAAATTTGGAGTGAAGTTCTGTCCCGTCAGCTCCAGCATGGCGACATCGCCTCCACCGTTTAGCTGCAGACAAAGAAGATCGCTCAGTAAGCTCTCCGATATGAAGAGGACTGAACCGACACTGGGACCAGGTTTATGTTCGGGGGGGGGGGGCTACGAGAGCACCACGGGGCTTCTGTGTCTACCTGTAAGCTCTCTACCACAGGCACGGGGGTGACAGGCGAGTGGACGGGGCCCATGCCCTCGTAGAAGGTGTATTCAGCCTTGTCCGTGCTGATGATTGTCCAGGAGGCGCCGTCGTTGATCATCTCCTTGTTTGGTTCCTTTGGGCATGGAGTGGCCTAGCAGAAGAAGGGGAGGAGTCAGGACCTTTAATGCACATCCCCGGTGCAGAGATAACCAGCTCAGAGGTCGCTCCTTAGTTTTATTTTTAAGAATGCTAAAACAATCACGAGACACTGACTTGAAACTGGATGATCCTTTCTTGGGAAAGGCACAGGTACATGCGTTCCGTGTCCTTCAGGTAGAAGGCACACTTGTGGAGCTGGGAGACGGGGTCGTCGGCGTCCAGCAGCGCCGTCTGCTTGTCCACTTTACGGATGATCTGAAAGGGAGGGGGGGGGGGGGACAGGGATTAGACGAGCGGAAGATGGATGGGAGGATGGAGAGAAAGGATAAGACGAAGATAAGCATAATCACGAAGATAAGATACTTCTGGTCTTTCTAATCTCAAAGGACGTGTTTTCTTTTTACCAGTCTGGGCAGCGCCATGCCCGTGACGGAGCAAACCAGCTTGACTGTCTGGCCGTAGTGGATGTAACCGTCTCTCACAGTGAACTCTTCTCCTTCTGACTCCTCGTCGTCCACTAGAAACCGCACAACAGGAAGGGAAGAAGTAGTCAGTGCTGCAGCGAAGAGCCCACGAACCTCAACATTTCACTCAAACCCACACTCAATCACTCCCGTTCTTTGTCCGCGACGAATCAGCTGTGTAATCACTGTAATACAGCGTGGGTTACATTTACAATGAGCAGAGAGAGAAGACAAAAGTGACGAGCTGTCAAACCACATTCCTCACTTTACTCATGCCGAACCCTCCGTGTGATTTAAAGCCTTTCATTCTTACTTGTGTAAACTCTCGGGCTGACTGAGACTTACGCAGGTGGATGTAAAAGGCACCCCACTGCTGGGAGCTGGCGTGGAAGTTGCCGCCCTCCACGTGTAGATAGCGCGTGCTGACCGTTTGGGACCGAAGCCGGTTGAACAGTGCCACCTTGGTCCCTGACGCAATGCACACTGGGAAAAGAAACACGAAGGAGAAGACACACACACAGACAGGTTACATAACGAGCCAAACACATTGCGTACAGCTATGTTGACGGTGTGTTAATCTCAGTGATGTGTACGCTACATGTGTGCTACATGTGACATAACTGGGTTACTGGACACTCAGGTGCGGCTATGCTGCCCTCTAGTGGTTGGAAATATAACATCATAGCACTATTATCAAGAATAAGAATAATTAAATTAATTCAAATTGACAATGTAAATGAAATTAAACAGAGTAATAAAACAAGATTTAAATAAAAGCATAATACTGCAGAAATCTATCTTAATGAACATAGATTTTAATTAAAAGATATATGCCCAAAAAGTAAAGATGTAGGCCACATTTCGGCACACACACACACACACACACACACACACACACACACACACACACACAAACTCACAGTCGGCGTTTTTGAGCGACTGCTTCTTTTTGGAGGGCTTGGAGATGACTTTGATCCTCTTGCTGAGGAAGACACCGATGTCAGCGCTGTTGCCGTAGAACATCTTGACGGACAACATGAAGTGCTTTCTCTTGTCGGAGTCGGATATGTACAAGGTTTTGGCTGTGCAATAGTTCTGGGTGGACACGGTGATGGAGGGGGCAGAATAAGGACAGGGTTTAGAACACGTTGGATATTTTGGAATGCTGGAAAAGATATATATGTGTTTGTTTGTGTGTGTGTGCGTGCCGTACCTTTCCCTCTAAATTAAGCTGTTGCATTTCTTGGTCGCTGTTGCCGATGCCGATGAAGGCGCAGGGCTGCGACTCCTGCTCGGAGCAGCCGTCCCGCTCCATCTGCTCCTTCTTTTTCTTCCAGCCGCTGCCCATCAGGTACACGCAGGGAGGAGGGCAGAAGAACCTGAACACATGCACACATAGAACTATCAATATTTGGACTGACATCGCTGGAACATCTGTCCTCCATTGATAGTCACTTCAGCATCTGCCGACGTAAAACCGCTTCAGTGTTCAGCTCAGTAGGTCAAAATATTTATCATTTTCCCCCCTGAAACTAATATTTCCGTTTGTTTTTGTAGATATAAGTATGTTTTGAATCCTCTTGACAAGACATTATTTACATATCTACATTATTTGTCCTGGAAAAAAAGTCAAACATATCATAATCATATTACTCAAAACTACATTTCCAGTCTGGTCTGGATGTCAACAACTGAGAAAATACAACGTGCATCTCTTACGTTCCCCCAGCAGAGGGCAGACCTGCGCTATGCTCCATCGAGACAGTCAGAAAGTTCCTTTTACCAACATACTGTTTGTGTACAATCGAACTAAGCACTCTTTCCTTTAAGCTGTCCGGTCTCATTTAGCAGATGTTAACATGAGCAGCCCCGCATGAAACCGATCTCTCGAAATACATTTTCCATTTCAGGATGTCATGCTTTTCCTTTACTCCTACAGAACTACAGAAAAAACATCAACTTTAGCCTTATCAAAAGGTGAAAATCAACTCATGACCGAACCGGCCGTACTTCAAAATAAAAGCTTGTGTGCGTCAGTGTGGAACTGGAAAGCGACCTGTTTCGCAACACCGCCGCCTGTCTCTGTGGGTGTTTGTCTACTTTCACCTCCTATAAAAAGCGCAGACAGACAGACAGACAGCACATTTGCATTCTCCACTCAACCCACTTTGTCGGGCTCCCCGGTTACGTTACATGCAGATGTAATCAGCGGTGCGAGACAGACGCTCACGACCTGAGCATCATGGGGGTTTCTGCAGGCCAAAGGATGTTGAAACACTGATATGCACACAGAGAAACCTGTCTGTGTGTGTGTGTGTGGATCTCGTGGTTCTGACTGCGATATAGCAGAAATCCTTCGGCGAAGCACTCATTCGGACGCTTTTTCTTGTGACAGCTAGACGGTCTATTGGTTGCAGACGCTGTGTTTTTTTTAACCGAGTCCTGTATCGTCATTGAGCAACTCACAATCCAGCAACGCAGATACCGAACCTGCACGAGCATGCATGTGACGAGACGGTTTGTACGGTTTCCTCGGAATTCATCTCTCTCTCCCTCCCTCTCCCTCCCTCTCCCTCTCCCTCTCTCTCCCTCTCTCTCCCTCTCCCTCTCTCTCCCTCTCTCTCCCTCTCCCTCCTCGGGCCAAGAAAGCGGGCGGAGGATGGAGCACTGAAGAGAGTTGCATAATGAGCGAGAGAAGCGGGAGGAGGCTGCGCTTGCATGGAAATCACAACAAAGACAGCAACACTTAAAGTTGCTCTGTGAGCCTCTGAGACCTGTATGCTCATGTCCTTGAATCCTTTTTATCTCCCCTAGTCCCGTCCGCCCCCAAACCCCCTTGCTCCCTTTCCTTTGCGCCTCACCTGAACGTGGCCCCCTCGTTTCCTCCTCTGACCTGATACGGGAGGTCTGAATGGTCAAGTACCCACGCTGCACTGGGGCAAGCTGGAATGTGTGTCTTTCTTATTCCCCTCGAGTGACATGCGTTACCTCGCAGTGAAATGGGCCAAGTGTGTGTTATGTCAGCGTGTAGAAAGGCTTCAAAATAAGAGGTTCACACAAGGAAAAACAATTGAACCGAGACATGACGACGGTCAAGACGGTTAGATGATAAAAGAGAAGATATAGTTGACTAGGGCTGCAGCCGCTTAGCACACACTTAGCTCCCGGGCATGAACTAGTCTGGCACAAACCCCGATCAAACAAGACGGAACATGTCAATTAATGAACTTCCGAGGTGCTGGATGGAGGATTTTGTTGTTTGGCTGCTGGCTATAGATTCATATTCAGCTGGGAGCTGCTCTTTATGTGTCACTCACCTTTTCTCATTGCCGTAGGATTTCTGTGCAACTTTTGCGTGCAGGATCATGACAGTTTGGTCACCTCGCTCCTTCAGGTAATTCCTCATCGCTTCTCTGCAACAGAGAGAGAGAGAGAGAGATGTTGGTTAACGAAAAACGTTAAAAAAAAAAAACTAAGTGTGTGAAGTGTGTAATGAGAACATACAGAAACACACATTGCACACATTCAGTACACTCGCAACGACCTCTCTGGAAAGCCTCACAGCCGGCACAGTCTGCTCGCCAAAAAAAATGCTATGTTCTCCCCCAGCTGGGT